GGGGGGGGGGGGGCTCGGCGAGTGCTTCCGGGTCACACCCACAACTCTTGAGATGTGTAGGCCGGGCGCGGTGGCTCACGCCTGTAATCCCAGCACTTTAGGAGGCCGAGGCAGGTGGATCACGAGGTCAAGAGATCCAGACCATCCTGGTCAACATGGTGAAACCCCGTCTCTACTAAAACTACAAAAAATTAGCTGGGCATGGTGGTGTGTGCCTGTAACCCCAGCTACTCAGGAGGCTGAGGCAGGAGAATTTCCTGAACCCAGGAGGCGGAGGTTGCGGTGAGCCGAGATCACGCCATTGCACTCCAGCCTGGGTAACAAGAGTGAAACTCTGTCTCAAAAAAAAAAAAAAAAAAAAAAAAAAGGTGTGTATTAGCCAAAAATTTTTGCCTAAATTCAGCAAACCTTTACATTTAATTTCCAGTTTGAAGTAAAGACAGGGACTAGAGGTACAACTGCAATGATACTATAAAGAAGCAAACAAAAAATCAAGAATATGTGGCATTCGACAGGGCAGACAACTGATTGAGATCTTCATCAAGTCTGGTGTCATAATAAAAAGATACTAGATTAAATGAGATCCAAGAGATCCAACATATCCACTAAATGTGATGCATGGGCCAGGACTGGATCCTGATTTGGGTAATTTTAGAGACATTTGAGGACAATTAGAGAAACTAGAAAGTGGGAGATAAGATAAAGATAGGATAAAGATTTATTAGTACAAAAAGGTAGCTAGTACTAACTTTAAAAATGTTGCAAATAGCATAGTCTGTTTTAGTAAAAGTGCATGCGCACACATATATCTGGAAATATTAAGAGCATTAATTTTGGGAAGGTCAGTATATAAGGTTTTCTTTTTTGTTTATACTTTTTCTTACATGAGCATATGTTGATTTTGTAATAATTTTTGCTTTTTTTAACTTTTAGTTTCAGGGGTACACGTGCAGATTGGCTCTATAGATAAATTGAGTGTTGTGGAGATTTGGTGTATGAATTATTTCATCACTCAGGTAGTAAGCATAGTAACTAATAGGTAGGTTTTTGATCCTCACCCTCCTTCCACCCTCCACCCTCAAGTAGGTGCTGGTGACTATTGTTCCCTTCTTTATGCCCATGTGTATTCAATGTTTAGCTCCCACTTATAAGTGAGAACATGCAGTATTTGATTTTCTTTTCCTGCATTAGTTTGCTTAGGATAAGGTCAAAGGTGCACGATCTTGTTCTTTTTTTACGGCTGCATAGCATTCAATGATGTATATGTACCGCATTTTCTTTATCCAGTCTACCATTGATGGGCATTTAGACTAACCCTAGGTCTCTGCTATTGTGAATAGTGCTGCAGTGAACATATGTGTGCATGTGTCTTTATGGCAGAACAATTTATATTCCTTTGGGTATATATCGGGATTGCTGGGTTGAATGGTAGGTCTGTCTTAAGTTCTTTGAGAAATTGCCACACTGCTTTCCACAGTGGTTAACCTAATTTACACATTCCCACCAGCAGTGTATAAGCAATCCCTTTTCCCTGCAGCCTCATCAGCATGTTATTTTTTGACTTTTTAATAATAGCCATTCTAACTGGTGTGACATGATATCTCATTGTGGTTTTGATTTGCATTTCTCTGATGATTAGTGTTGTTGGACATTTTTTCATATGCTTTTTGGCCACCAGAAAATTTCTAATTTAAAAAAGACCCAATTCTAAAACAAGGCATAAATGGGTAAAATAAAAATACATGGGGGAAATTGGTAGGTGTCATCAGCAGAACTGAGTCTCCCTGATGCTGCTGATGCTCCCTGTCATCTAGCCAAGGTATTAGGTGTGGAAACACACGTACACAAACACACACAAACACAAACATACACACACAGTCAGAATGGGGTCCCATTTTGAAAATAGTGAGGTCAGTTCTGTTCACACTGCCACTCAGTGTGTGTGTGTTCCCTGCTGGAATTCTCCGTCTAAGGTCCATAAACTCCTAGATGATCCACAGATCCTGAAGTCAGAGATCAAATTTATACCAGAATAGCAAGGAATACATCCCAAAACAGTTAAGAGCCACTGCCCTAAAATGTTAGCTCTGTTGCTTCTTAAAAATCTTTTGTCTGGGCACAATGGCTCACACCTGTCTACCCAGCATTTTGGGAGGCTGAGGTGAGTGGATCACGAGGTCAAGAGATTGAGACCATCCTGGCCAACATGAAGAAATCCCGTCTCTATTAAAAATACAAAAATTAGCTGGGTGTGGTGGTGGATGCCTGTAGTCTCAGCTACTTAGGAGGCTGAGGCAGGAGAATTGCTTGAACCCTGGAGGCGGAAGTTGCAGTGAGCCAAGATTGTACCACTGCACTCCAGCCTGGCAACAGAGCGAGACTCTGTCTCAAAAAAAAAAAAAAAAAAAAAAAAAAAAAGCTTTCAATTTCAAAAGATCTGTGGGGGGAAAAATGGGTTGTTGGATCCTGTATTTAGAAGGACTTTTCTGCTCCAATGTTAAGCCATCACTTTCTCCAGCTCCTGGAGGCATGGGGAGAGCAGAATAGACAAGGTCTCAAATTCAGAAAAATAAATTTCTTCCTAGCCCCATAGAGCCCCCAAACATTGCCACGAGCTGGGACACATAAGGGAGTAATAGTGCTTCAAATTCCCACCCCAAAATACACTGGGACTTTCCCCCACTGTCTAGTCTCAGGCCTCAGCATTTCTCAAAGAATCAGAGTGAACGAGCAAGCCCTGATTTGAAGGGGTACGCCAGCTACCCAGAGAGCAAGACGCCAGAAATGTAGGAAAGTGCATGGAAAGAATAAGCAAATTCGGGGGTAGGTAAGGGAAAGCACTCTTGCTTATCTTTGGAAGTTTCAGTTCTGAGGACTAATTTCAGAGTAGCAGGATGAAATCTCTGAAATGCCAAGAATTCAATAAATAAACTACTAAAGACAATGAATGCCATATGTCTCTTGTTACAAATGCATTCTGAGCCTGGCGCAGTGGCTGACACCTGTAATTCCAGCACTTTGGGAGGCTGAGGCAGGTGGATCACCTGAAGTCAGGGGTTCAAGACCAGCCTGGCCAAAATGGTGAAACCCCGTCTCTACTGAAAAAAATACAAAAAAAAAAAAAAAATTAGCCGGCAGTAGTGGCTTACACCTATAGTCCCAGCCACTCAGGAGGTGGAGGTAGGACAATCGCTTGAACCTTGTAGGTGGAGGTTGCAGAGCCGAGTTCATGCCATTGCACTCCCGCCTGGGAAACAAGAGGGAAACTCTGTCTCAAAGAAACCAAAAACCAAAAAACAACAACAACAAAATACATTCTGAGGCACCTTGATCAATAGACTAGATAGCAAAAGGAAAAGGCAGTCTGAGCTGCTGTCTATAATGAACAGCTGTTTTATTAAAACCAACTTTGGTCAGACTCCTTGCAATGTAGTCTTTTTTAAAGAAATTGCCCATTATGCTCAAAAAGTCACAGATGGACTAAACTTGCACCCACCCCAAAATCGGGTTCAAAGACTTATTACTTTGTTTGAGGCAGGTGCTTGCATCTTAGCTGCAAGAAGTATCCTCTCTCAGCAGGACAGGTTGGGCAGCATGCCTGGCAAGGGCAGGCAGAGTGTATCATGAAGGGTGGATCCAGTTCCTGTAGAGTCTGGGGAGGGCTATGCCAGAAGAGGAAGCTCAGCACTGATTAGAGCATGCCAGCCATACTATTGCAAATTCAGAAGAGTTTTAACAAGTCACCAGGTAGTACTTATCGGAATACACATGTAAATTAGAAAGTCCCTAAAGTTACAAGTTGTGTTTTACAGGGTAATACTCATATTCCTATGCAAAATTTCCTTACTGTAATGTCTGGGAACTCTTTGATTCCTCAGTTTTATGGAGTCCTGGTAAACAGAAGATACTTTGGTTGTCATGGTCTCAAAATAGTCTGAGGAAGCAAGGTAAGAAACAAAGGTGAACATCTTCAACTGCCTGGCAAGAATGGCTGGGTAGGTAACAGTGGTAAATGATATATTATAAAACCTAAAAATAAAAGTAGAGTTTATCCCTCCTAAGTTGGAAAAGAGGCAAGATATTATTAAGGAATTTAAGAGTGGGTTTTTTTTTTTTTTCAGATGGAGTCTGACTCTATCTCCCAGGCTGTAGTGCTGTGGCACAACTTGGCTCACTGCAGCCTCGACCTCCTGGATTCAAGCGATTCTCTCTTGCCTCAGCCTCCCAAGTAGCTGAGATTACAGGTGTGCACCACTACACCTGGCTAATTTTTTCCATTTTTAGCAGAGAGAAGGTTTCACCATGTTGGCCAGGCTGGTCTCAAACTCCTGACCTCAAGTGATCTGTCTGCCTTGGCCTCCCAAAGTGTTGAGATTATAGTCATGAGCCACTCTACGCAGCCAAGTGTTTGTTGAAATGTGGGTAGGAGAGAATCCTAAATGTGACTGTCTAAACTGGAGCACCAAAGACACTGAGTAATCGATTTGAGAGAGAGTTAACAAAAGCATTTGAAAAGCCAGATCACAGGAATTTGGGTAGCTATTTGGGAGTTTCTGATAGTTGTGCGCTCAGATAAAAACAGCCCCTTCACTGGGTCACCTTCATGCTGACCAGGAGGTGGGAAAACTCAACCCAGAAAGGAGATGCAGAGATTGGCAGGTAGAAGCTCAGGGCTGGGGAACTGTTCTTCTTCCGAAGCTCCAGTTACTCTGACAGGGCGCTGGGTGCACAGCCACACAGCTGTGGTGGTTGTTGGACCCTGATTCCTTAACTTCCCACAGGCCTCACAGGAAGACCTCTCCGGGCCTTGCTTCTTTGCTACAATGCATGCTGGAGACTTCTCCAAGCTTCCTCTGTAGCATTTACACAGAGCTCATGAGACCCTAGGGGAAGCTTCTCTGGTGACATTTCAGAAAGTCAAGCCACATACATACCTCATCTCCATGCATATTCGCCACATATTTGAACTCCGGAATCCCAATTCTGTGTTCCTTTGGAGACCGCCCCACAACAAGAACCCACAGGTTTCTACCTTTACAGGAAAGAAAAGAAGGAAAAGTAAATTGTCTTTTTAAATGACAAATGAATTCTGGGAGAATAAGAACAGGAAACAGGATGCTGCTTCCCCCACCTGATCCCTTGACTGTTTCACGGTGACTTATGTTTTTATGACTAACATCTCCGTGCTTAACACACTCTTCGTTTACTGCCAAAAGTTATGGAAACCCCTTCAATTCAGCACAAATATTTCACTTATTATTTTAGAATGTGATTTTTAAAAGCTGAAGACTTACTAGGCGATGCAGATCTTATTTTTCTAAAATGTGTATATACTATGCTCTGAGATCCTGGAGGCTCCTAGGATCTGCTAATTCACACAATTATACAAAGTTAAATTATAGTCGATGGTTGACTGGGATGGTGTCATAACTTGAAGTATAAGGAGAGAAAAAACAACAGCAATGAAAGTAACTCAAAAGGGAGATGGTTTTAAACGTAGGAGATCCTGAATTCTGTATTTAAATGCTGATGTGACACAGCCCCTTGTTAGCATCCTCAATATGTGTGAGTCCCGTCAGGTAAAGTGGAAACCACAACCCAAAGAAAGTGTCTAAGTCTTAGTTCTGTGTGATTTGGGCAAAAAAGGGCAGAGATGAAAGCTCACTGAGGATTTGTTTTGTGCAGATATTACTTGTGCTGCTCTGGCTCAGGTAATCTCAAGTAACCCCTTGTCATGACCCACTGAGATGGATTATTAACAAAACTTTACAAAAGAAAAAACCGATCTTCAAAAATATTAAGTAAAGGGCTTATGATCACACCTCCAATTAGAGGCAATGATTTGAGCCCCTGAGCCAGTAACTGAACTCTGATCTATTTGACTTCAATTCTAGCGCTCCTCCCCCTAACAAAAACTGCTTGTCTCCCAAGAGGCTTGGTTTCCTATCCAGTAAAAATGAAGAAGTCACTTTCAATTTTAAAATTGTCTGGCACTTTTAATATACTTACATTAGAGATGTGGGAATGTTTGCTATCCATCATGTATGTACAAAGTTTAAATATCTGTAATAATTTAGCCTCGAAGGAATTTAAGAGCCCAGGAGAGGGATTTAACAGCAACCAATGGGCTAATGTTGAGCAGGTTTCTGTAGAATTTCAGATCTAGCTCCTTAAATCAGTAGTTGCACAGACTGGGGAGCATGAAGTTGCCATCAGGGACTCAGGGAAAACCAAATACTGGACTTGTTATTTTCAACATTTATTGATAATTTATTATAACCATATTGTATGGAAATTTGTCATGATAAGGTGATACTCTAAATTTTGTAACTCCAGGACTTCTCAGAAAACACCCACAAAATGTAGTCTATATGATTTATGTCCCCTGTTCAGTGCAGAATTCTTATTCATACATCTATTTGATGAATACTATATCCAGGCATTGAACCTGGGTTAGGCTGCACAAATAAGCCACATGCTCAATGCCCAATGAATTTCTGATCTATCAGAGAATAGCAACACACAAACATACACTAGAGTGTGACATATCATAGATGTGTGTGTAGTGAACTGTGTGGGTATAGAATAAAAAAATCGTTAATTTTTTTCAAGGAGGGGCTGATGAAAAGCTCTGTGGATGTAGGGTTTTACAGATGACGTCTCTACAGAAGGTTCTGAAGAGTGATTCTGAGTTTGCCATGTGGACAAGTGTACTCCATCTGGTGATTCCCCATCGGAAGCATTTGATTAACCAGAATCTTCCATTCCCCAACACTGTCAAGTCTTGTTGTGTGAGGCTTTACTTCTACAAAGTTATCATTTTCATATGAAACAAGGAACTTTGCATAAGTGAGCTATTATACCTGGCTTTTAAAGGTTTGTTTCCGAGGAATTCTTCTGTGTTAACTATTTGTACAGAATATGGTCTAGTCCTTTTACAAGCAAGGGAAAAAATTCAGTATCATCTCAACATAATATTTAGCAATAGTTATTTATAAGCATGCATCTGCAACAGCTGGCCTGTTACGTAAAAAATAACGTAGATGACAAAAGACTGACTTGATATCGATATCCAATATTATTTAGTTTAAGGAAGCAGGGAAATCACACTGATAAAATCTAAGTGAAGAAGTCCTTTGATGCGTAACTCAATCTAAATTTTAGCACGAGTGGCCGCTAAGTGAACTGCAAGATGAGAATCTTACCTTAAACAACTCAATGACATAGTCTGAGAATGAAAATCAACCAACAGACGGGAAGAAAACTATTCTTTGGAATGACAGGCCTCTAGAAGGGTTTTAACTGCCCTCTCCAACTTACTGGCTGTCTCTGGCCTAGACCAGAGTAAATACACAAAGGACAAACTATTTACTTTTCACAACCTGACTGTCAAGGTAAGTAAAAGTAATCTAAACAAGGTTTTGTTTTTGTTGTAAATCAAGGTTAAAAAGACTACCTTTATTCCCAAAAGTTCCTGCTGTAACAGGTGTGCTAAAGAGGTCTGAAGTACTCAGCCTTTCAGTCTCTCCACCACAAAGGAAATGAGGTTTGGATTCCGGATACTTCAGTATCTCTATTCAGGAAGTCACGCAGGGTTTGACACAAATCCTGGGGCTATGGCATGGGTGTGCAACTAGGCTTGCTTGAAGGATCAGGAAAAGTTTTACAATTTAGAAGTGTTTGCTAAGATCTCTAAGACAAGAAAGCAGACAAGTGCTACGAGTACTACAGGAGTTCAGGAGAAAGCAGGAGGAGAAGGCTGGAAAATTAAGTATAGCTTCAACAGGCAGAAATGGGCGAGGTAGCCTTTCCACATCAGAGGCACCTGGGATCCTTGTAAAAATGCCAATTCCTGAGCCCCAGCCTCAATCAAATTCTTGGGGTAAAGCCTGAAACTGGCATTTAACAAGTACCTTTGTGATTGGAGCCTCATTAAAGTTTGAAAGTTGCTGAGACTGAGGTAGGAAAATATCCAGACAGATTTGAGAGGTAGTTGATATTTAGGTACAACCATTTCATTTTACATATAATTGTGAACATGTTTCTGTGTTAAAAAATATACTTCTATCTCTTTTTTTTTATTTGAAACAGAGTCTCACTCTGTCACCAGGCTGGAGTGCAATGGCGCTATCTCAGCTCACTGCAACCTCCACCTCCTGGGTTCTTGCAACTCTCCTGCCTCAGCCTCCTGAGTAGGTGGGATTACAGGCGCCTGCCACCATGCCCAGCTAATTTTTTGTATTTTTAGTAGAGACAGTGTTTCACCATGTTGGCTAGGATGGTCTCAATCTCTTGACCTCATGATCTGCCCACTTCGGCCTGCCAAAGTGCTGGGATTAAAGGTGTGAGCCACCACACCCAGCCCTAATCCATCTTTGTAAATGGCTAATTCATATTTTATTATGTGAATGCACTACCATTTATTCAACCAGTTCTCTATTGGTTGTCTCTATTTGGTGTACAATGATAAGTAATTTTATATAAATTATAGCATGTTCACTAAAATTACATACAGAATTTATAACATTAAAATATTTTGTAATATGGAAAAAGAATGCAAAATTATATAATTACAACTATGTAAAACAGACTTCCTATTAAAAACCTATAGCTTTGTAGCATATAAAGCCTAAATTAAATAATGGATGAAGACAGGCATGGTGGCTCATGCCTGTAATCCCAGTACTTTGGAATGCTGAGGTGGGAAGATCATTTGAGGCCAGGAGTTTGAGACCAGCCTGAGCAACATAGTGTGATGCCATCTCTACAAAAACTTTAAAAATTAACTGGGTATGGTGGCATGTGTCTGTAATCCTAAGTACTCAGGAGGCTGAGGTGGAAGGATCCCTTGATCCCAGGAGGTGGAGGTTACAGTGAACTATGATTGTGCCACTGTACCCAAGCCTGGGAGACAGAACGAGACTGATCACTTTAAAAATTATTAACAATACAAATGCATCCCTACAGGATTGAAAATGGCACACTGTCAGGGATAACAGGCTAAATGACAGGATGATAAAGTTGAGTAATTATTTTCACCTTTTCACATTTCTAGTTTTTTAAATTAAAGAAATACCAAACCCTATCATTCATTAAGTGCAGATACTACGAGCCAGGCACTCTGCTATGCACTTTACATTATTTGATCTTCACAACACCTGTGAGGTGTGTGATAGCCACAATGTATATTTGAGGAAACTTAAGTAACTGAAGCAGAGTTCAAATCCAAGTCTGTCTGACTCCAAAATCTGTGCTATTCTGAGGACCTAGGGCTGCCTCAGTGTCCCTGAAAGTACTAGACAGGCCAAAGCCAACCCCATTGTGGGGAAAAAGTTCCTAGGCAGTTCTTTTAGCATTGAGTTGCTATGGTTTACACCTGCAGCAAGACTAGGCTTGCTTCCTGGCTATGACTGATTACAGGCAAGACAACTGAATCTGAGGCTACCCTACCAGGACATTCCACGCTGGGTGTTAATGTCACAACTCCATCAGACTATCTCTATGTGGAGAGTCTGAATGACAGAGACATGCCTAGGGAGAAGCAGAGACGTGGGTGGCCCCATCACTGGGGCAAAGCTGCAGTGATGTGAAGCACATTCCAGTTTTTTATGAGGTTTGTTGTGTCTTTGGTCTGATACATAAAGTTCTGGTACACAGAGTAATAGATCAGCTGGTTTCCCAGGCTTGCATGTTTCTCTGCGTATCCTTACAAGTCACCTTTGACCTAAGTAAAAGCTTGAGAGAGCTTCCTCAATGAACTGAGTTTCAGTTTCCTCTAGTAGTGGGAGTAACAGCCCTACTGGCAAGGCTGCTGTAAGCCTGCACTGTAGTGTGAGTTCCTTTTACCTTCCCTAGCAATCATCCAAAGATCTGACGTCAATTTCACATATGCACATTCCCACTATCCCCCCCACACAAGAAGTTTATCACATACAGCATGCAGAGCCCACATTCAATAATGAGTGAACCCACCGAAGAGTTGAAAATCACATATGATTTAGGTCAGTTTAAACAGTCTCCAAAGTTCACACA